GTGAAAGAGAGAATGAAAGAGCATGAAAAAGAGTGAAAGTTGCTATCAAATAGTATAAAAATGCTAAATTTTATTAGGTAGGTTCAATCTGTTCAAGTAAACGACAAATACAGAGTTTTAACTTTGATAATTATTATAATAATAGTAAAACAACCAGTATTTTATATCGTTTTGCGCTTACTTAAAAATAAGGCATAGAGTAATGTCTTATGTCCCGGTAATGAAAGTGTACTTAAAACACGAGTCGACCAATTGTTTACTTATAGAGCAGTTAATCGTGTAATAATTAATAGGTAATAATATTTAGCTAACATATTATCAACAGAACATTATGATTTTTATCTATTATACAAATACATTTTTTTTTATTCTCTGTATGTTTTAACAACATGCCAACGACGGATGAAAGATTTCGTACGTAAACTTGATACGTTTTTTTTTTTTAAATTGCGCGAAATTTGCGACTTTTTCTTTTTTTGTAAATAAATTGTATTTTGACGCACACGATTCCAAATTATATATTATATTCAAAGAAATTTTTATAAGAATCACGTTTGTTTGTTATTAAAATTTTACGATTATTCTATTGTTTAGAAACTAAGACAGATTATATTTGTTTTATTATATTTATGTAAAAAATATGTATTTTTTATCGTAACGATACTAGAATATTATCAGTGATTAAAGATTTCTATAAAAAATAAATATGAAATTTGCAATATTCGAGAATTTAATTATATTCATGAAATGCATTATCAAAACGGAAAGTTAATTTATTATTCATTGAATATTATTGTTAGAAAGAAAGATGTTATAAAAATATAATAGAAAAATTGCGCTTTGATTATAAGATAGTGCAATTTTTAAATAAATATGGGATTTTTCTACAAAAACGATCAGTTGTAAAATAGACAAGGAATACTCATCTCTGTCGTTGGTACTATAATGAGACTGTCATATCAACGCATTATTCTTTTTGTTAATGCAGCAATTAAGTTTCTTTTGATTCACTGATAAGAATATTACAACTTGCAATACTTAATCCGTAATGTAACTTGTAAGAATCGTCTTCCCATCTTTACAGTAGATTTCCTTGTGTAAAAATTGTAGATTGATCTGTACACACAGTGTTCATTAAATATGATAAAGATAAGACCTTTATTAACAAAGATGAAAGAAAATTTTTTCATAAAATTTCAAATTTGAAGTACTTGAATTGGTTTTAGTGGTGTAACATCAAGTATCTTTTCAATACAATTGTTAATTTCTTTTCAATCATTTTGGTATCAATTGTAACATACTGGTACAAGTTTGTCTAAAATATTGAGATACTTAATAACATTGATCTCCTATTTATTATCGACTTTAATGAAACATTTTGTGTATGCATACACGTTGTATGCATCGTGAAAATGCATTTTATTTGTAAAGTTGGGTTTTCCCATTAAGCATCAAATTCTCATTGCACTTGTCATTTAAAAAATATTAACACGCATTCAATTAATACATCCTCTTCATGTTTCATTGTCAGTGACAACAATTTTTCAATAGCGATTTCTTTTTCTATTTCCAAGGATCTTTTTAAGTAATTCTTACTTAGCATTTGAATAATAAACAAGATTAAAATGAGTAAAACTTGTAGCTGTAAATGTATCGATGGAAATATTTTACTCTTTCTTAATTTGTAATAACCTGCTGAGGAGTTAACTTTTGAATACATTGTTTTGGTATTGCCAATTGTAATTATTTAAAGAAGAAGGAAAAATGTGTATTATGTTGAAAAATACAAAGAATTTTGCAGTAAAGAATGTACATATCATTCAGCTTAATGAACGAAATTATTAATAACGAATTATGCGTAATTAGAAAAAAATTCTCCTGTTGGAAAAAGTATTACTAGTACATTAGTTAGCGAAGTGGAAGTTGATGGGAAACAATTACTGAAATATTCGTGCCTTTGATGAAATTTAATATTTTGATCCCTACAGTGTGACGCGAGGTAGACACAAGAGGAATTAAATAAAACACATCTTGTAAAGATAATGCAAATATATTAAAATTAACAAATTAATTGTTTGATTAAAACAATTAACCGATGGGGAACTTGAGCGTGTACTATGTTCATCGCATACGTGAGCTTACCTTGTATTGCCTTATCCTACCTTTTAAGATTATCACTACTACTTCCTTATTTCCACTTTGTTATTTGTAATAACTCTTTACTTTGTTAAGATATTTTTAGGGCACACGAATGACCAGACTGTTATAAAAATATTGGACAAAAACAGGTTGCGAAAATATAATCAGAAAAACAATTTATACTAAGAAAAATGGCTATTTAAGCGTAATTAGAGGATAGATTTATACATGCAATATACAACATGTTTATTACGAAATGAATAAATTTATATAATTCACCGTGTTTTGTTCTGTTCCAGTGAATCTATACCTTATGCGTTATTATCATACTGAAAAAGAGTAATTACATTTTTGTTTAAAGTTAATACACATTGCTATTTTTCGTCGAACGATAATTAAATGAACAAATTGCTTATTCAAAAATGACAAATCTTACTATCTCAGGATGATAATAAGAATTTCTGAAAATTAAAAACAAAGCAGATGATATTTCGTTACTGTACGAAATTAATTTTACAACTTAGTACAGGATATTATGCATAATCTGAATTTGAAACTTATTGTCGGCGTTAGAATAAACAACGTTTACGTACAAGTACTAGACATTTCACAATTTTTCATAAAATTTGTAAACGACACGTGTGACCTATCGCAATCCCATAAATCGTTTTGATTATAGTGCAACAATTTCTAAACGATCGGAAGATTTTATGCAACTACGATAGGCTAGTTACGAAATATAATTACAATTAATTACTCGATTATTTTTACAAAAACAGTCTGTCATCCAGAGATACTTGCCATTACCGTCGTTCAATACATCAGCCAATTGCAACCACCAGAGATCAAAAAACGAAACAATTAGTTTCTTTTGAAAATGAAGAAATCATTCGAGCAAGTGTTTCGATCTGCTTCGTAAAGTTTGTCAATCTTCACACACGTGCCTCCAACGAATAAATGGAATATAGAAGGAGAATTTACTTCTCAAAAAACACAAAAAGTCACAACTCAATCCTTCGAATCACTTCTTTCAAAATTGAAAATTCGTTTGACTCATGGACAGTAAAATGCTAGCGCCACGTAGTGGTAAAATGATGGAACTAAACGCCTTAGATTCACATTAAAATAATTAATTAAAAACAATTAATTTTAATTTTTTATGTATGCTAATAATTTACATTCTAGAAACGTACATTTTAAAGACAATGCCATCGATTACGTTCACAAATAAATTTGACTTCAATATTCAATGTAGTTTGCGAGAAAATGAGTACATTAAAACACATTTGAAATACATAAGACTCTCGATCTATTAAATAAAATTTGAAAATCTTTATTAATAGATACTGATACG